TAGTTGGGATTGGGGCTGGCCCCTCAGACCTCTCTATTGGTTCCCTACTTCATCTCAGTATGTTGCATTCATGTCTTGGAGCACCAAGTTGAATTCTAGTCCTTCTTTCCCTGTGAAAACATGAATACCCTCCCACTGGGTGCGCTAGTGCCCTGTTGGCGCACTATCCATGTCCTCCTTTTTTTTCCTTTCCCTTTCCCTCTTCTTTTTAGTTGGCTGCCATATGCATCCCTGGGTTGGGTCTGACTTCTGCCAGAGTGCCTGGACCTTGCCCCAGGAATTTATGCATTTGGTAGCTTTTCCACATGCCCCTTGTGCTTTTTAAACTTACCTCAGTGGACTCATATTGTACTTGTCCTTTTTTTGCTTGGCTGACTTCACTTAGCATAATTTCCTCCAACTCTTCCCGTGCGATGATGTGCTTCATACGATCATCACTGCTTTTTAGGGATGCGTACTACTCCATTGTATGTATGTACTAGACATTTTTAGTCCATTCATCAGTTGATGAATATTTAGGCTGTTTCCAATTATTTACAATTGTGAACTGTGCTTCCATGAACATTGGAGCACAGATGTGTGGTTGTTGTCTGTTTCTTACTTCTTTGGGTTATATGCCCAGTAGGGGGATTGCTGGGTCAAATGGTAGCTCACTTTCTATTAATTTTAGGTATCGCCATATTGATTTCAGTAGTGGCAGCACATACCACCAGCAGTGGATGAGAGTTCCTGTCTCACCACATTCCCTCCAACACTTGTTGCTTTCTGATTTTTTAATTGAGCTATCTTTGAGGATGGTATCTCATAGTTGTTTTAATTTGCATTTCTCTTATGACTAATGATTGGGAACATTTTCTCATATATTATTGGCCATTCGGTTTTCTGCCCTTGGGAAACTTCTGTTCAGGTCCTTTGACCACCACCTCAGTAGGCAATTAGTTTTTTTCTTTTTGGAAGCTAGCAGAGTATTGTAGATTTTAGTAATAAGACCTTTGTCTGATGTGTCATTGCCAAAGATGTTTCCTAGCCTGTGGGCTCTCTCATTACTCTCTTGGTGAATTCTTTCTATGTACACAGGTGTTTTATATTCAGTATATCCCACTTGTCAATTTGTGACTCATCTGTATTTGTGTCCTTCCCTATTTCTGATAGCCTATGTATTCCCTGTGCCAAAGTTCTCAGATTTGTCCCAATTCCCTCATTGATGGCCCTAACAGTTTGGGGTTTTACATTGAGGTCTGTGATCCACCTTGAGTTTATTCTTGTGCATGGAGTGAGATAAGGGTCTTGCTTCACTTTTCTGCGGGTAGATATCCATTTTTTTCTA